GGCTGAGTTTTGTTTTTTTTAATCACCTAATCAAATTGTGCATACCTGATTTTAAGGCCAGTCAGCCCATCGCCTCACTTGTCCTTGCCATGCTATCCCTCCCTTGCCAACCCTAATTTGCTGAAGTCATTTCTTGTTTGTATTCTCTTCTGTCTCTCTGCCCCATAACTCCTCCCTTGGCAGCCCTTCTCCCAAGCAATGTCCTCTGTTTCCGCGGTAGAGCTCCCTTCCCCTTTCTGTCAACGCCTCAGGGCCTTGTTCTTAACTGGTGAAGAAAAGCAACCTTAAAGGAATTCATAATGTGAATTCCTCAAGTAGAGACACTGGTAGAATCCACAAAGTTGAGGTTTGGGGGTGGAATGTTAGTAGATAAAGAGTCACCTTCTTTTGGATCCCCTGAAATTCACCCTTTAGAGATGACCACTCATTTGTCCTGGATCTTCCACTTAGTAGCTCATTGCCTTTACCTCCTATCTGTTTCCTCCTCTGTGAAATGGAAGTACTCACAGAGTTGTTCTGTAAATGAAACGAGGTTTGTTATGTGAAAATATTTGGTCTATTATAAACTTCATGCAAATTCAAGATATTCTTGTTTTTCTTCTAACTCTTCTTTGTTCAGATATCAACTTTTTTTCTTGTATTTATTTCTCTACTAACCCTCATCTCATTTAAACCAACTTCTTTTAAGATCTTCGTAGTTAGGTGGGTGAGGGCTCTCTGCCATTTCCAAACTTAATTTTCTTATCAAAAGTTAAAACAGCATAGATAACAGAAGCCTATGTCATCGAATATTATCAAAACATAAATTGTGTTATTCGGTTATATTTGCTTTTACACACCAAGCTTTTCGTTCTACATTTAACATATTTGGTGCTTAAATATTTTTATTTATGATAATTATAGTAGTAGATTATAAAGTCAGGTCCAGTTCCCTGCTATTTTTGATAAGAATAATTCAGATTTTTTTCAAATTTCTTAACCAAACTCTTGATATGACAATTCTCTATCTTGCTGAGGTTGCAGAATTTTATCCCTTAAAGAAATTTTGACCAAGTACAACTAACTACATCCTTAAAAAAAGAGGTCCTTCTTATTTGCTGTTGGAGAAAAATCTCTCTGCGTAAAGTACCTTCGAACCCTGAGACTATAGCTGATAATGAAAAGTAAGTTTTCTCTGCTTTTCCAAGTCATTCTTTCCTACTGCATTAACCAAGGAACTATTAGGAAAGAGGAAAGGATCATCACATTATAAGTGTGCAAAAAAATAAGGGTTAGTGCCCTTATAATTACTTAATGCCTAGATGATTGTTTCTTTGGACTCCATATTTTTGGTACCCTCTGATATACAGTAACTGAAAGTGGCCACTCAATTCTTTTTTTTTTTACATTAAGTGAAATAAGAATCAAATGTATTTATCTTAAGTAGTCATATGTCTCTACATTGTTGTATTGAATAAATTATCCATTTTCATTGATTTTTAAAAATATAGGAACTTATTTTTATTTGAGTTTGAGATATAATTTACATACAATAAATTACCCTCTTTTAGTTGAATAGTTTTATGAATTTAGAAAGTGCATATAGTCAAGCAACCACCACCATAATTAAGATATGGAATGTAATCGTAACCCCAAAAAGTTTCCTTGTGCCCATTGTAGCTAATTTCTCCTCAGCCTCCTAGGCCCAGGTAACCATTGATCTGTTTTCTGTCTCTATAGTTTTGCCTTTTCTAGAATGTCATGTTATTGAATTATGAAGTATATAACCATTCATGTATGTTTTCTTTCACTTTGATGTTTTTAAGATTTATGTCGTTAGATATATAAAAAAAATCATTCCTTTTGCTTACTAATATACCAATATATAAATGTACCCCAGTTTTTTTTATTCATTTGGGTTGTTTCCTATTTTTTGCCATTTTGAATAACACTGGTATGAACATTCATGCATGTCTCTCTGTGTAGACATGTGTTTTTGTTTCTCTTGAGTTAAATACCTAGGAGTGAAATTGCTGGTTATAGAAGAAGCATATGTTTAGCTTTGCAAGAAACTAACAATTTTTCAGAGTGGTTGAACCATTTTGTATTCTCAACAGCGTGTATGAGAGTTCCAGTTATGTATGTTTTCTTTGATATTGTCAGTCTTAAATTTTAGCCATTCTATTGGGAATGTAATTGTATCTCATTGTGATTTTAATTTGCATTACTGATGATTTTACTGATGATCTTTTCATATACTGATGATCTTTTCATATACTCATTGATGTATATACTAGAGCTTTATTCTGACTGTTCTGTTGATCTATCTCTCCGTTCTTGTATAAGTTCCATATTATTTTAACTATTAGAATTTTATAATGAATTTTAATACATGGCAGTATAAATACCTCCAATTAAAAAAAAAAAGTCCTGGCTATTTTATTTGTCAATAGAAATGTTAGAATAATTTAAGCGGCCTCCCATTCTTAATGTTAAGAAAAGTAGAGATTTTGTTAAACGTGAGAATTATTTTGGGAGGATTCTTCATAATAATCTTTATATCAAGAAACACATTTTGTCTCCATTTATTTAGGTCTTTTATATCTCTTGTTAATTTAAAAAATGTGTCTGGCACATTTCTCGATATTTCCATAAATTACATTCTTTTGGCTATTTTCTACTCACATATAATAGTAATTATTACTATTATATTCTACTATTCACTTTCATTTTGGTATTTACAACAGCCCTTTATCATTGTTCAGCTCTGTTAGAGGCTGAGCTTTAATTGTCAAGCTCTAACAGCTGATAGGTTATGTAAAAGATTCTTACCTGAGAGGCATATATTCCGTTATTTGGGTTTTATTTGTCCTCAAACTCAGGAAGAATGTCTTGAGAGAAAAAGAAAGTAGATGCCTGCTGTTTTGGTATAACAGTGTCAGGGAGGGTGAGAATAATAAACATTACTTTATTTTTGAAATAAAACTGGAAGGCTGAGCTCAGATTCAAATACGATCTTCTGATTCCAAGTCTCTTTCCTCCATACAGTTGGATATGAATGGTAATAGGTATTCAGACAGACTTAATAATTTTGCAGAGAAAATGAGGATAACTTTTTATGTTTTATATTATAAAAAGCACATGTTCCTATAAAGTTTTATATCTCAACTGAAAGAATTATTTTGTTTTTAATTTTATTTTGAGGTTTTCTCTTAGTTTTATTAGTATGGAGTACCATGCTTCTCAGACTGTTGCATGGGACAAGAAACCATGTTAACACATAAGGTAGTCAGTGCAATTTGAGGAGGGCTTTTTTCTTTTTTTTTTTTTATAAAAAGCACATGTTCCTATAAAGTTTTATATCTCAACTGAAAGAATTATTTTGTTTTTAATTTTATTTTGAGGTTTTCTCTTAGTTTTATTAGTATGGAGTACCATGCTTCTCAGACTGTTGCATGGGACAAGAAACCATGTTAACACATAAGGTAGTCAGTGCAATTTGAGGAGGGCTTTTTTCTTTTTTTTTTTTTTCTTGCCAGAAGTGAAGCGAATTACTATGACCTTGCATAAGACATTTTCTAGGGTGTTTTTATTGAGCATGTTGATATCGTACTGTCTTTCTTAAATGTAGAATTATCTTTTAAAATAAACTCAGAAAAAAATAATAAAAGTGAACCTCTAGTTGTCCTTTAATGCTTATTGTTATAAACCTCTTTATAAAACCAACAAGCATGACATATTCTTAGAGAGTACTAAAGATTACTACTTCTATGGAAAGTAGTGCAGGATTATATTTACCTTTTAAATATAAAGCATTGTGTTCTAAAGTAAAATAGAAAATTTCTCATTATAACTATATTTTGGTTTTTAAAATATAATTTAGAAAATTTCTCATTATAACTATATTTTGGTTTTTAAAATATAATTTAGTTTTGAATCCTGTGAGGATAAATGCAATGACAAGATAATTATCTGTTCTTTAAAAAAATCTTTTTAGAACACACTTTATATTGCCCCCTACTCTTGAGCGTGTGGGAACCTGTAAATAGGATGAGAGTTGTTCCCTTCATTAGTTTATATTATATAGCAAATGTTGATGGGGATAATCTCTTGTGATTATGCTATGAGTATATAAGACTCCATCATAACAGACTGTAGAGAAACTGAAAGTAAGAGATATGCTCTCCTTTTAGCCTGGAATAGAGCAAACATCATGTTCTGAACTGCCTCTAATTGCTGAGAGCAGTGTCCCACCTATAGTTAGCAAGAAGAGGGAACCTCGGTCTTATAGCTGCAAGAGACATTCTATCAACAGCTTGCATGAGCTTGGAAGAGGACCCTGAGCTTTAGATGAGACTATGGCCCAGCTGACGCCTTGATTGCAGCCTTGTGAGACCCTGGAGTAGAGCATCCAGCTAAACTATGAAAACTATGAGATAACAAATTGTTTTGTTTTAAGCTAATAAGTTTATAGAAATTTATTATGCAAAATAGAAAACTAAAGCTGAGCTTGTTTTCATTTGTAAAATGGGGCTCATAGCTCTTTATAGGAAAGTTCTGGGATGAAATGAAATATAGATGAAGAATATCTGGACATCTGCAGGCACTCAGAAACGTTGATATGTCAAGCTGAGCAGACATTGCCTCCTCTACATGGCCAGTGTGGAGGGTGACTTGAGAGAGTGGTTTTCATACCTATGAGGGAGAGATGTCTTCTAGAATCGTCCAGTCTATACTTTTGCTGGCACCCCAGGCTGACTCAGGGCACAGTGATAAAGCCACAAACAACTGAATTTCAGTTTGTGTTTTGTTGAACAAATGTTACTGGAATCTACTTAAGGTGAGAGAGGATTATTATATTTGATTGTAGTCCAAACATGGAACCATATCATTTTGGGAATGTTCTTTAAAATCTGGTGAATTTGAAAAAGGAAAATTAATTTCAGGACTTAGAACAATAGCATTCAAAATATAGATAATTTCAATTTATCTGTATTTGAGTATTTGTATGTATCTGTATTTGTGTGAATTAACAGCTATATTGTTTGAGAAGCCAAAGGTAGCATTTTTTATTTTTTATTTTCAAACTGACAGAAGTCGTGTGTATTCAATATAAAGAGCCCTTTTTCCTGGAGTCATTTGAGAATGAGATGCCACCATTAGGCCCCATCACCCCTGAATACTTTAACATGTATTTCCTGTATTGCCACAACAGTCAAAACTGGGAAATTAGCTTTGATACATTACTACCATCTAATCCTCAGACTCATTTAAGTTTTGCCGTTGTCCCCACAGGGCCCTCTACAGCAAAAGGAAGCAGTTTAGAATCACACTTTGCATTTAGTTATGTCTTTTTAGCCTTCCTCTGTCCACAAGAGTCCCTTAGTCTTGGTTTTCACAATCTTGACACTTTTGAACCTTAGAGGCTTGTTTCTTTGCAGAAGCCTATTACTTTGGGCTTCTCTGATGTGAATCTCATCAGTAGGTTCAGCTTACACACTGTTGGCAGGAATATCACAAATGATGTTATATTCTTCTTACTGGCTTATTTCATGTGCTGCCTGATTTCAATTTGCCCTGTTACTGGTGATGTGTAATTTGTTTGGCTAAGGTGATATCTGCCAGGCTTCTACACTGTAAATTATTCTTTTCCCCTTTGTAATTAATGAATATTTTTGTTGAGATCCTTTGAGACAATGTAAATATCCCATTCTTCATTAAGCCTTTCATTTATATCAGTATAACTTATCATTTCCTATTTTCTACAGGTAGTTACTATCTAGTTCTATCATTATTTGGATATCCAAATTATCCCAGATCAGCAGGATCTTAACTCACTTCTGTGTCTTTTGCACTTTTTTTTTTTGACTTGCACCCATAATTCTTTGGCACTTCTTTACTTCCTGGCACAACAAGATGTTTTAAGATCATCTTGTGCTTTCTCTTCCCCTGTCCTAGAATAAGCTAATTCTCCAAAGAGCCCTGTTTCTTCTTAGTGAAGGATGATATTTATAAACCATGATCTGGGTGCTAGTTTGCTCATTGCTCTCAGATGTCCATGCTCTCAGGGTCTCTCAGAGGATAGAGTTAAGGAGTGTATTTATTCCAGTATTTACTTAAATCTAGTTTAAAGAATACAAACTGTCATTTAACTAATGCTCAGGCCTTGAAATAGGCTATCTCCAGAACCTCAGGGTCCCTCTGGGTGGTCCTTCCAGTCACAGCTCCTTCCCTTTTTACAGAGGTAAGACAGTCCTAATTTCTACCTTCCTTGCCATGGTTTTACCACCTAAGCATGCTTCCCTAAAATACAAGATAGTTTAGTTTTCTCTATTTTTGAACTTTACATAAATGGAGTCTTGCCTTTTATTGTGTGAGTGTAATTTGTTTTATGACTTGCTCATTTAATTTATGATTGAGATTCATTCATTTCCCATGTTGAAGTTCAGGTCCATCATAGCTTTAATGTAAGACATTCAGGCCATATTATTTATTAGAAAGACACAATTAAGAAATAAAAACAAACACCAAAATACTCTGTACTTTTACTTTTCTTCTATTTTGTTACAATTTCTATTTCCTAAATCTCTCAGATCCATGTAGTTTTCTTTATCCTCCTTACCATTACCCAGTCCAGACAGCTTCATCCCTAATTTGCATAACTACAGCAGATTCTCACCTGGTCTCTTGGCTTTCATCAGTTTTGCTGCCTCTAATCCATTCTCCACAGAACATTTGAAGTAATTTTTGAAACTAGTGTCTTACTACGATCAGCATTATTTTTCTTAGTTATAGATCTATGAGTTGGTTAGGGTGGCTTTACTTCATAAGGCTTGGTTCTGGGCCTTGGGTTGAGTTCACATCTGCACCATATGTCTCTGCATTCTGCTTGGGCCAGTGGCCAAGCCCAACTGTTGGAGTAGCACATCTACAAGCATACCATTGGCTAAAGCAAGTCCCATGGCCAAGTCCATTATCATTTGGTGGGGAAATATTCTCCCCACCCTAGTACACTGCCAGGTCACAAGGCTGAGGAGGGGAGGGAAGAATTGAGAAGAATAGTTTACTATAACAATGTTAAGTAGCAGTTCTTTCTGTTCTTATTTAGTCTGCTAATTTCTTGATCTGTTCTCTTATGACTAGTTTAGTTTTCTTATTGACTATGAATTTCCATAAAGATATGTTAAATCCCTAAGAGAGATCTATGTAAAAATATAAGCAGTTGACTTTGCTGACCTGATATATAAATACTACTCTTGAGGAGTTCTGTGATTTGGAGCAAAACAATTTCAGGTGACTGTCTCACTTTCTGTGTCCAAAGGAGAATATTTCTAAATATATCTCTTGAGAATTCTAAGAACATGTAGAGAATAACCTATTAGTCAAAAAAGTAAGATATTGAAATATTCCTTCGTTTCCTTTACTCGCTAAGAGGGCACCGATGAGGCTGAACTTTGGCCTTTGTATCTGTCTCTTATCTCTCAGCTGGGTAGTATAATCAGTGCTGTTGACCAGGAAGACAGTTGACCAAAATATCATAATAATAACCTTCCTTTTTTTTGCTTTGACCTAGGACATAACGATTATATTTGTCCAGCTACAAATCAGTGTACAATAGATAAGAACCGGCGCAAAAGCTGCCAGGCCTGCCGACTTCGGAAGTGCTATGAAGTCGGAATGGTGAAGTGTGGTGAGTATCTACTCCCCCTTTTCTTGTATGTGGGACATGCTAACAGCTATGGGGATGTGTAGACTGGATAAGAAGACATTTAGGACTTGGTGATTATCTAAAAGTATTTGTATGCTGTCGCATTGAAGGAAGCTTTGACTCAATCCCTGTAACTGCAGAGGACAGAGCTGGGATGAGTGGGAACAAGTTACAGGAGGCAGATTTTGGCCCAATATAGGGAAGAACTACCTATCTACAATTCAAGTGCTCTGACAACAGAACAGACTGAAGCATGAATTAGGGAACTCTAGCCACTGAAGTGCTCAGACAGGGGATGGATGACCATCTTCCTGAGGCCTTGAAAAGTTTAAGGCTGAAGGTCTGGTGAATATTCACAGTTACAACTGTGACAAGAAAGTAGCATGTCTTGTTGGTTACTTGGGTGGCTTGGATTGACTCAGGCCTATCCCTCCAATAGCTTTGTAGAAGTAGAGGAAAAAACAAGTAGTCAGAAACATGATAAGACTGTGAAAAGCACATAGAGCATAGATTTTGTTCTACAACATGTGTGCATGCATATGCCTGTGAAAATTTATGTGCACATACATACATGAAAAAACAAAGGAAAATGAGCACATTAATATAACAACTGACAGTGATGCCTACACCCTGCTCTCTCCATCTGGCTAACTTTGATTCACTGGTCTGTACACACTTGCTTGTTTCTGTAGATTCATACCAGCTCTGCCGGTACTTTTCTTCTACTAGCCAAAATTTTGCCTGTAGTTCGTTATAATTTCTCTCTTTATAACTATTTGAAAAATTTAAAACAAGTATCTCTCTTTTCTCCCTGACAATCTTAGTAACTGTCTCTTGAACATTCTTTGTCCTTTTCTTTTTCTCTGGGTGGGTGATAGATAAGACCTCTCACCTAGTTCAGAATTACAGCAGAAGTTCTTTTCATTTGGTCATAGTTTTCTGGCTTCCTAGAATCATTGACGCTTTCTGTTTCCCTTGTAAAACATCCCGCCAATGCCCTTGACCTCCCAGTGTGCATTGGTTGCTTTCTAGAACATTTGAACATTTCTGTTCCCACCATTTCAGTTATATCCTCATCAGTAATCAGGCTTCTTCCCAAATCTGTTTCTACTCATTGTAATTGTTAAGTTATATATTCTAATTAAAATTTATGCAAACATATGAAATATGAATAGGAAAACACAGTTGTTTCTGTGAAAGCTTTGAATAAGCTATAAAGGGCTAATAGTTATTGTGTTAGGTATGGATGAGATTGGTGAGGAATTATAAGCCTAGAAAGATTCTTAGTTCAGATTGCTTTATGAGTGCCTAAGTTCTTGTTCTATTTTAAAGAAGCCAAAACTGAAAATCCAGAGACAACGTATCATAGCTGTGGTTTATGCTAGGAAGTAACTTCTGATTTAATTGGCGGAGGTGCTTAAGGAGAAAGCCTTGTCCTCTGACAAAAGATTGCAAATAAGTGTTTCATGTTTTAAGTTAAGCAATATTTTAAGGTGAATATGTATTTTAGAAATTTTTTAGTTAGATTTAGGAGAACACTTTTATTATCCTGGGTATCTGTTGGGTATCTGTAGCCTGGTGATTCAGGACCAGGGCAGCTGCACATGTACACTCCGCCTGTAGGGGGCAGTATATGTGTTGGGAAGAGCATGAGGACTGGACTCCCATAGACCGAATATCATTTTTTGTCCAATTACTGCTTGCTAATTGTGAGTATGCTCAAATGACTCAAACTTCTAGCCTTCAGTTTTCTCAGAAACAGAGATATCTGTTTCATTGAATTTAGTAAGGAATACATATGATAACACATATAAAGACCTAGCACAGTGTCTGGCACTAAATTATAGTTTTTCTTCCTTTCTGTCTCCCTCATTGGCAATTTCATATAAGTTGTGAGTTTGATATAATATGGTCTCATGAGGCAGAGTACAGAAATGTACATAGTTAAAAACTCTTTCATGGAAAAGGGGAATGAAAGAAAAGGGTCATTGAACTTGGCCAAAAAAATCACCAGGTAGGGCTAAGAAAAAATATTTTGTTATCTTTGGAGATTACAGAAGAAACAAGATGGGTTAATGTGCAAACAGTTGGATATTTAGCTTTCACTGACCATGGAGAAAATACCAGTAGGAGTGAACTTTCTTAGCTAAGCCTTAGTAAATTATTATCATTTACTATTGTTGTGGACATCATTATCGTCGTTATCATCATTTTGCTGGGACACTTTCTAATATGGAGCACTCCTATTTAGTAGAGTTTCTCATTAAGCTCACTCAGAGGCACACTGAGTGACTCCGCCTAGATCGCAGTGTCACAGTCATGACACTAGAAATGTCCTTGGTAGAAAAATGTGAATTCTTTGTCAAGGGCTTCATTTTATTGATCCTAGGATCCCCAGCACTCAGTACAGAGCCTGATACATAGTGCTTTGTCAGTGAAAACTGGTCAAATAAATTTGAATATATGGATTCAGAACCTTTCACTTTGTATGTAAACCTATTTTGTAAACTCCTTATCCTCGTATACTCTGCAAAAGAGAAATGTGTGATCAGAAAGTTACTTTCTTAAACCATATATTTTGTTCCATTTTACTATGGGGGTATAATTGATCTTAACTATAGCACTCTGATTACTAATAAGATGAACTATGTTTTAGGCTTCTAATTCTTTTAGTAATAAATTTGATTCAAATATCTCTGGATGGATAGAGCCTTTTCTTCTACTGCAATTAGCCAAGGTTAAAGGGAAATTCAGATAAGTTTTCTTGGGGGCAAATAATTTAAATTATTCTCATACTTTCTAATATATATATATATATTTAATTAATTTATTTTTTTTATGGTGATGTGGGTTAACAAAATCCAGTAAATTTCAGGTGTACAATTTAACAGTAAGGCATAGATATATATTGCATTGTGTATTCACCTCCCATAGTTAGATTTCTTTCTGTCACTACATATTTGACCCCTTTTAACCCATCTACTTCCCTCCTCCCCCC